AAAGAATCTGATGAATTCAACGTGTCTGAGTGATGTGCACGGGTCCCTGCAGTGTGCACGAGTCCCTGCAGTGTGCACAGGTCCCTGTAGTGTACACGAGTCCATGTAGTGGGCACAGTAATAATTACTTCTAGTGAAGCAGTGACAAACATTCTGGTACTGACTGCAATGTGTGTGTTTGATTGTTTGTGTGTTTTCAAGTTTGAGTGAAAACCCAAAGATTTTAAAGGTTCTGTTCTGAATGGCACACTGAATCTTTCAGCATACCTGACTGTCCAGCCTTGGTTGTCTTCTATCAAAGTAACTCATTCTATCCAAACATAAGTGATGCTCCAACATGAAGAAATATAGTAGACCACTGGCTTTAGATTTATGAAGACCACCTGCTTCAGATATGTGGAGACCACCTGCTTTTGGTCTATGAAGACCACCTGCTTCAGATCTGTGGATACCTCCTGTTTTTTGGTCTTTGGAGACCACATGCTTTAGGTCTGTGGAGACCACCTATTTTAGGTATGTGGAGACCACCAACTTTAGGTCTTTGGAGACCACCTGCTTCAGATCTGTGGAGACCACCTGCCTTAAGTCTGTAGAGATCCCCTGCATTAGATCAGTGGAGACTACCTGCTTTAGCTATGTGGAGACCACCTGCTTCAGGTCTTTGGAGACCACCTGCTTTATGTCTGAGGAGACCATCTGCTTTAGGTCTGTAGAGACCACTTGCTTTAGATATATGGAGACTACCTGCTTTAGATCTATGAAGACCACCTTCTTTAGATCTGTGGAGACCACCTGCTTCAGATCTGTGGAGATCACCTGTGTTACATCAGTGGAGACCACCTGCTTTATGTCTGAGGAGACCACCCGCTTTAGGTCTGTGGAGACCACCTGCTTTAGGTCTGTGAAGACCACCTGCTTTAGATCTATGAAGACCGCCTTTGTTATATCTGTGAAGACCACCTGCTTTAGGTCTGTGGAGACCACCTGCTTCATATATCTGAAGACCACCTTCTTTAGATCTGTGGAGACCACCTGATTTAACTCTGTGGATACCACCTGCTTTAGGTCTGTGGAGACCACCTGCTTAAGATCTGTGGAGATCACCTGTGTTAGATCAGTGGAGATCACCTGCTTTATGTCTGTGGAGACTACCTGCTTCAGATCTGTAGAGACCACCTGCTTTAGGTCTGTGGAGACCACCAGCTTTAGTTCTATGAAGACCACCTGCTTCAGATCTGTGGAGATCACCTGCTTTAGATCTGTGGAGAACTCCTGTTTTAGGTATTTGTAGACCACATGCTTTAGGTCTTTGGAGACCACCTGCTTTAGATCTGTGGAGATCACCTGTGTTAGATCAGTGGAGATCACCTGCTTTAGGTCTGTGGAGACTACCTGCTTCAGATCTGTAGAGACCACCTGCTTTAGGTATGTTGAGACCACCTGCTTTAGAATGGTGGAGACAACCTGCTTTAGGTCTGTGGAGACTACCTGCTTCAGATCTGTGGAGACCATCTGCCTTAAGTCTGTGGAGATCACCTACGTTAGATCAGTGGAGACTA